AGGGGGGGGGGGGGGGGAGCTTTTGCCAACAGGACTAGCTTTTGTGAAGACTTACTGATTCAACTTTATGTTTTGACTATATATTTGTTCTCGTGTTTCTTGTCAGGTAACATTAGCTGCACTTGGGGAGTTGTTTCAAGCTGCACGTGGAACAATGACTTGGCTTGGTGATTGTGCTAAGGTCCATACCACTTGCCCCTACCATAGGCGCTCCCCCTCCACTAATTCTTTTTAATTAAGAATTTTCTTGACTAAGCTTTCTTTTTTTCTAATTTGTTAGCTAGTTAATGTTGTTATTGGATTACGAAGTATTATACTAATTATAATTGCAAAAAGGTTGATAAAATGATTGAACAACATGCAACTCAATTTAAATAAAACTTGCAGCCTATAATTGGCATATAGATCGCAAATCTGTACTCCTTGTGAAGTGCTGCAAAAGTTTCCGTAGCTCATTCTATACCCCGGTTCTGTTTCTTGTACTTTTTTTGTTGGATAACAAAACTTCAAACCAGTTCACAGATGAAGCAAAAATTGTCACCTATTCATTGCCCTCCAATGGCCATAAGATAAGTTGGACTGGCCTTTGGGGAGTGCACTGATAACTGCTTAGAAATCCAGAGTTCCAAATGAAACCCTAAATGGGATAGCCACGCTTGTAAATTCTCTAGGACCGAAAATATATTTAGTTAATCAATGAAAAGGAAAATATCTTTAGCTTTACAAATTCAAGTTTAGAACTCAAGGGTGTAACATTGAATGTATGGTCCCTTGAACATACTGCATATATATTCTTTGAAACAAAAATGCTGGTTCCCTTGGAAATTTTCCGAGAGGAATTGCAATTGGTAGTTGTAGGATATCTCAAAACTTGTTTGGACTTCTATGGTTTAACTAGTGATATTTAACAGGTGATTGCTTCAGAAAATCAGCCAGTGCGATGGACGACACCTCTGGGGCTCCCTGTTGTGCAGCCTTACTTTAAAACTCAGCGGCATGTTGTAAGTGCTTCTTTAATCAAGTAACATCCATCTGATCAAGTCTGTTCCTTAAGAAGCTGTTTCCTTTTTATATTGTTTTGCTAGTTGATTTTACATGTTATCACTCATAACTAAGTTGCCCACTTTAAATAGTTGGATTTTGCCTCATAGGATCTTGCATACATGATAGGAGGATGACTTTGAATAATTCATGTGACATCTATGAGAAATTGGCTTACATAATGATCTTTTTCAACTGTGATATGCCTTGAATGAGGATGTAAAACTTTTCTGTTCAACTGGCGAAGTATTTGCAAGTTTCTCCTCAAGGATAGAAGTCCTCTTTAAAAAATAAAAACGTCAGGAATTTCAAGCAACTCATGCAATATCTGTTTGTGCTAATGCGTTACTCCATATATGTGCAGATAAGAACTTCTCTTCAAGTTTTGGCTTTGCAGCGTGAGGGTGATGCAGTAAGTAATACCTCTTGTAAATGCTTTTGTTTTTTACCTGCTAAGATCTCATATTTTAATTTTATGCCTATTTTATATTGCTAATGTTGGAACCCTAGGTTGAGGTCCGGAAGCAGAGAACTGCTTTTCCTCCAAATTTTGTGCACTCACTGGATGGTTCACATATGATGATGACCGCTGTTGCTTGCAGGGATGCTGGACTACATTTTGCAGGTTTGCCTGCCCTTTATTTTTAATGATATCTGGTCTATACTTGAGTTTTTGACCACTTAGATGCACATGTATGCTTGCCTACATACAACACACAGAAGTTGAAATTGTGTTTCTACTCAATTATGAAACAGTCGAGTGAAAAGGTTTCCTAAATTGAAGTCCTTCGAGTGAAGGTTTTGTTGTCAATAAACTCCAGTTTGTTTCTGAAATATTTTAATGCTGAATTGGATTTGCCAAGAGAGAGAAATGTGTAATTTTTTACATAGGATGCTTTCTCTCTCAAGTTTCTGGATAAGAATTAAGATAATATAGCTGGCTTGAAGGACATGCCGTGATAGTTATAGAAGTTCATCATATGTTGGAACAACATAGTTTTCATTTCTGTACTCTGTCATGCTCCCACTGTCCCCTTTCTCTCTCAGTGCTACTATAACATGCTACCAGTATGTGAAAAATGACAGTCCATTAGATGATTCTCTTTTGTAAAGTGATTATTTAGATCTAGAATTCTCCCCAAGCAAAACGAACTCATATAGGCAAACTTAGCAGAAACTAATGTTGGATTGGTCATTTGTTGTATATAAACTCATGAACTTTATGTGATACTTAAGCCGAGGGTCTTTCAGAAACAACCTCTCTATCTCCACAAGATAGGGGTAAGGTCTGCATACACTCTAAGTCTCTAGCCTCCCAAACCCCACGGTGGGAATACATTGGGTATGTTGTTGTAAACTCATGAACTATTAAGACTTCTAGAACTTGCTTTAAAGTTCATTTACTTGCATACATTTCAAGCATTGGTTTTGTTTGATACAAACTTTCTTCAGTTGAGATTATTGATCAAACTCCTAACCTGTTGTAGGGGTACATGATTCCTTCTGGACTCATGCTTGCGATGTCGACCAGATGAACAGGATACTCAGGGAGAAGTTTGTGGAGCTGTACAGTATGCCTATTCTTGAAGATGTAAGTATGTTAAAAGTGAAAATTTCCTTTCTAGACGAATGTGTTTCAGGATCTCCCCGATATTTACTTTTGTTTCTCTTTCTCAAGCTGCACTTATGAGTTATAGTATACATGGTATCTTGTTTGCAGTTGCTTGAAAGCTTCCAGGAATCATATCCAGCATTGACATTTCCCCCTCTACCAAAGAGAGGTGATTTTGATTTACAGGAAGTTCTCGAGTCACCCTACTTCTTTAACTGAGAACCAATAGCATTGAAACAACGAACCCCTTTCTTCAAAATGCTATGTTCTTGCTCTGAAACAAGCATATGAGGCTTTTATGCGAGGATGATTGGTGGGACATGTATTCCGATGAAACATGAGAGCTTTATTTTGTTCTTGCGCTGACCCTTCTCAAGTAGCATGTCTTTCGTGGCTTACTACATAAGCTCTATGCGCTAGGTGCCTAAAACAATGCAAAACAGTCGGATGCTTTGGAAATTTGCAGTAACATTGGCGTGTACTGCATGAGACCATATGCAAGTTCGAACTTCCAGCAATGAAAATCTTGACTACGCCATGCACCATCCATATCACTGGAAGATGTAGCATCCATCTCTGTATGCTTTGGAGCTGAAAATACACAGCTATGTACACTGGTTCAGTTTCTTGTAGGTGCTGTACAGATATCTTTGGAGAAAATTGTAACGTATCTAGTTTAGGATTCTTGATATGTATAGGTATAGAAACAAGGGAACTGTTGTTGTATCTAATATAGGAAAAAGATATATTTGTGCTTTTTCAAATTGAATTCCAGGGCTAAACAAGAGATATGTATTACTACTATAATGTTTTCCTGTATGACCTATTAAATGGTACTCATGGCGTTGTGAGGGAAAATGTCACACCACGAAACGAAGAACTTGGGATTACCTCGGCTTTTCGTGTATATTAATTCATGAATTTTTGAAATATATGTGATCATTTCTGTTTGAGCTCAAGTTTTGTGAGTTTATTTGTGACATTATAGTAAATGATACTAATAGTTTTCTAGGGAAACACATTTTTTTTTTGGAGTTAATGGGTCTTGAACATAAATTTAGGATTATCTCTTTTTTTCGTGTATTAATTTATGAATATTTTGGAATATGTGTGACTGACTTTGTTTGAGCTCGGGTTCATCCGTGATAACCAAGTAATGATACTTATAGTCATACGGAGGTAGACATTACTTTTTTGGAAGTTAATGGGTCAGAAAAAAGGAATTTGTGATTATTTTGGTCTTTTCGTGAGTATTAGTTCATAAATTTTTCGAAATATAGTTGATATACTCTGTTTGAGTTAAAATGGTGTGGGTATATTTGTGATAACGTAGTAAATGATACTCCAATATTTTCCATAGGAAAACATCATGAAATAAGAATTCAAAATTATCTCAATTTTTCGTGTGTTAATGTCCATGAATATTTCAAGAATATGTGACCAGTTTTGTTCGAGCTTAAGTTTTATGGGTCCATGAGTTACGACCTAGTAAATGTTACTCATAGTTTCTCAAGGGCAGACAATGCTTTTTTTTGGAGTTTATGGCTTACAAAATAGAAATTTAAGATTATCTCGACTTTTTGTGTGTGTTAGTTCATGAGCTTTTCGAAATATGTATGATAGACTATTTGAACTCAAATTTTGTTGACCTATTCGTGTGTATTAGTTCATGAGTTTTTTCCTTCTCTATCTTCCCATTTTTCTTTTCCTTTTCCACCATGAGATACAAATTCCAGAAAAGCACTACAAACTCATCTGTCTATCACATAATATAAATGTGGGAGACTCTTGATGATATCACTAGACTATACGCCTCGATACATAAAACCATACCGATCATACAAAATCATCGTATTAATAAGTTGTTTGAACAGCAATCTCCAGATAGTATATACCACAAAACAATTCCCCAGTTCGATAAACATGTCAATACAAACTGCCTTTTATTGGAGGGGAAATTAAAATTAAACTCGTAGACTTTATTTGGAATGAAAATCTCACCAAGAGGACGCCTTAGATACAATACTCGAATAGTGATACAACAAATAAATTAACAAGACCACGACCACAAACTCCTTGTGTCCAACGAAATAACGAGATGAGTCTAGTACCTGTCGTCTGAACAATGGAATGAAACCATTCGACAAGACTTAAGCCTGCAAAAAGCTAGCATACTTGGCACCTAGGAAAAGCCTTTGGATACAGAGCAAGGCATTTTTCGTGACCTCAGCATTCTCATGGTTCAACAGTCTCATTACGCGCTCCTTAGCTTTGAGGTCATTCACTATAATTCTCCCAGCAGAATGGCACTGAATGAACTGTGACAGATCATAGCAAGCAACAGCAAGTGTCCTTGCATCACTTGATGTGTCCAAAATTGTAATGAGCACCCTCAAGATCTGCAACACCATACAACACAAGATATCAGTCTTAATATTAGAAAAAATTGTGCTTCACAGATTTGAAAATCCACCCCGAAGAAGAACAGTAATATGCTACGAAGATCATAGAAGCGGAGGATTCAAGATTTCAACCTCCAGACTCTTAGGATAGAACTCACTGTGCTTTTAAAATTATGGTTCAAAGTATATTGTTTGTTGAAAGTTGAGTGTTTTTTTCATGTGTTACGTCTCGGAGATATTAGTTTCAGCTGAATGCCAATAGTTACGCTTAAGGTCTACACATGATATAGAAGGCAAAATATACAATAACAAAAACATACCCAATGTTATTCCACAAGTGGGATCTGGGGAGGGTAGTGTACGCAGACCTTACCCCTATCATGGGAAGAAGGTAGAGAGGATGTTTCCAAAATGCCCTCTATATTAATTATTTATTAGTTAAGGGTGTGACCTCCTCATCCACTCTGCTACTATGGGCGACAGTTTACCTCTAATGATGGAAGTTACTACTTAAACATGAATATTAAAAAACAGCTTTTTGATTTGATAAGCAGATAGACTTGTTTGAAGGTCAGCACGATATCAAGAAACCCACCAGAAAACTCTGGTTCTGCTGTTAATGTAGGCACCAAGATGGAGTCGGTGTTTACACTGTTATGCAGTGCGTACTTTACAGCCTTTAAAGACATGTAGCTTGGGAAGGTTTTGCAATCTACAAGAAGTCAAGTATTACCTGGAAATCATTCTCCTCAAAATTATTTATGTTCTCCCGCCAGAATATAGGATCTTTGTGCATTGGGGACCAATCAAGATGGCCAAGAAGGACTTCCTGCTTGTACTTGTCAAACGAACTCAGTTTTTTGATGTTTTCCTTCAATCCTTGTTCTAGTTGATTCAGAGCGTCCAAAAGATCCTGCAGAGATGATAAATAACGGTAAATACTTTTTCATTCTACAGCAGACACAGTAACATGATTAAGTCATCATAGTAAATTCTAAGATGAACCGAGAAGAAGTTCTAATGGTGACTATTCTTCTAATCATTTTCTACGCTGTTAGCAAATGAGAGAAAAAGACTAAATTTAAGGTATAATATCAGATTTAAAACCATGACTAAGATTCTTCACCTCATCACTCCAAGCCTGTGCTTTCAAACTCTGAACAATTTGCAGCACTCCCAAGTCTACCATATGAGCACTAAATGTTCCTTTGGAAAGCAAATTCCGAAGAGTCAAGATGACAACCCGTACAACCTATAGTTATAGAAACACCACAGGCCGTGAACAGAGATGAGCAAGCCAAAGACAACCAAGGTAGAAAAAGTGCAGCATCAAATTTAAAAAATTAAAAGGGAGTACAAATAGTTATTATGCATAAAGCAGCACAAGTAGCTCACCTTCTCTTTTGTTGAACCTTTAACAACTTCTATCAATCGAGGGAGGGCCCTTGAAGTAGCTAAATACTCTATTGCAGGTTCATAGTATGACAAAAGCCACACACAAAGGCATGTCTCATAGAGAAGCTGTTTGAAGGAAGAAAATAAAATCAAGAAGAAGAAAGAAAAATATATTCTTTTGTCATCTAGCTTCAGGAGGTGGTTGATAGGTTGAATGAGTACAGAACAGTCTCAACCACCACAATTTTCTAGCACGACACGTATATAATTTATAAAGGTAATGCAATATATGGCATTATAGAGTGAAGAAAACCTGGATAGACTGCTGGGTGGATGCTGGTGAAATTAAAGGAACAAGCAACTTCACTCCATCAGCTCGAACAAATGAAGATCGAACAACTGGCTCTTTCAACAGAGTTGATAGGCAGTTGATTGTGCTAGGAATGCTGCGGGTAGGATGAGTAGGCTTTTTCAGCTGCACAGATCGTCAAAATCAGGAACGACAGCAGTTAACTGAAACATGATAACCCCAACAAGTGGAATTAATCCATAAATCCCCAACCCCCATCCCATTGAACTTTCCACTATCTTCAATTATTTAGCTTCAAAGTGAAGAAATAGGTCATAAACCCAGTTGTAAGGCTCAGAAAGATCTTGATGAGAAGCAAGAGCTTCCTGATCCCTGTCAATGGCGTCATTCCATTGCCTCTTACTGATTAAACTAATACATCGCACCCTCATGATCTTATGATTATAGCCCTTTTCGCTTCAACTGTTTCTTTTATTCTACAATGGACAACCTTCCTTCTATGAAATATTTCCACAACTATATTGAATCCCCTTTCAAATGTTTGCAAGCCCAGTAATTGCAGGTTTGGGTGGGATGGAAGAAAAATATAGAAGTGGAAACTCTAGGAGCATAGACAAACCTGTGCACAAAGCCACTCCACCACGCCTGCCAGAACATCGTCAATGGTAGTGATTTTCTTCTTTGAACTTGAGGCATCTCCATTTGCATCAGCACCATTCTGAACTTTTGACCTAGCACTGGAGTTGTCATTAAGAGGACCGCAAAGTTATTAGTTCATTTGTCATTCTAACATTCTCGGTCTTTTGATATCATTGACATGGGAGGAGAGATCATAACCTAATTACCTCACTGTCAAAGATAGAATCTTACAGCTCTTCTCTTGTATGAACCAATTACCTTTCCACAGCAATCTGGAAAACAGAACTCATCTTTAGAAAAGTTGAATGTCACGGACAGATAAGAATACATAATCTTCACTGATTTATAAAAATAACAGTTTAGAAGAGGCAAAAAAAGAGGAGAACCTACAACTCCAATGTACAATATGAGCGTCACCCTTTTCGACAACCTATATATATGTGTATTTGGTGGTTCTATTCATCATTTCAATATCACCTTATTGACAATTTCTGGTCATTATGACCAATAAACTCAATGCTTTCTTCAAGCAGTAAAGGGCAATAAAATAGCTGTATGCCTGTACTAACAAACTGAAGGTAAAGGTGTCTTGACTTTGCCACTGTACGTATTATTTTGTTCCAAAGTAACTGAATACCAAATTATTAGAGTAAATATAATGTAATTAAATTCCTAGTTTGATAAGTCTTCTAATTCTAGCATCTACAGTTTTAGCATCCAAAAACTTTGTACCAAAAGTTAGAAATGAGGAGGGTAAGATGTAACTTTTGGTATGAACCATAAAATTGAACTACTACTACCTACGTATTAAATAAATGAGGAACACAACAGGTGTGATCTTCTATAAATATGGCAAGATATGTTGATATAGGATGAAGGCAGGGGAAGGGGGTGCATGCAAATTGCAATCCTTTGCTACAAAGGAAGAGAAAGAAAATAGTATCTACACGGCAAGTGTAAATAAAGGACATCAACCCTTGCAGAATAGTAAGAAAATGGAACAAAAGTTAAAAATGGGTGGAAGAATATTGCCTGAGGAAAGGTTCATAGGTATCTTCGTCTGCAAGACTCTCATCATGGAATAGTCTTGCTCTTTTTGGGTTTGCTGCCAAGAAATAAGCATTACATCAGTCCACTTACCAAAAGAACTCTAAGAGTAACAAATTCTCTACTTACCTGTAAGCATTTCATCAATCAAAGCCAAAACATATTCCACGGTTTCTTCAGTGTAAATAAAGGACATCAACCCTTGCAGCATTCAGAGAAAATGGAACAAAAGTTAAAAATGGGTGGAAGAATATTGCCTGAGGAAAGGTTCATAGGTATCTTCGTCTGCAAGACTCTCATCATGGAATAGTCTTGCTCTTTTTGGGTTTGCTGCCAAGAAATAAGCATTACATCAGTCCACTTACCAAAAGAACTCTAAGAGTAACAAATTCTCTACTTACCTGTAAGCATTTCATCAATCAAAGCCAAAACATATTCCACGGTTTCTTCCTTGAAGATGTCACGTAAAATGGTAACAAAGACGCGGACATAACCTGGACCATCCTGTAATAGTGGTATCCATTTTATAATAGTATCACCAATTGAGAGTCTAAGACCATGATAAGACAATCAAAAGTTTGAGAGCTTGACCAAGCACCCAACGAAATCTAAGAATACGGGATGCTTAGAAATCAGCAGTTGCAAGAACCCCATTTCCCACATAAGCCCCATGAAAAAGCCTGTAACTTGGGAATAGCTCAATAGTGTAAAGAACACTCACACTACATTTTGATGATGCTGATGATATATGACTATTTCAAGGTAATAAATGAACTTGAAATGAAGATACCAACAACAATAACAAGTCCACAAGAATTAGACTATCTATACATGGGAGTCAGGTGTATGCCAAACTTGACTAATAAAGGAGAGGCTAGTGATGACAATTTTTATCTTCCCAAATAACAGCTAATCCATGTATTCACTGGCATGCAAAATGTAAAACTTATACTACCACAAGTGGACCTATTCCTAACCTAATTTAGAAGAACTCTCCTTTTTCTTTTTAAGAAAGAAGAACTGCAATTTAGAAGAAGTCAGCCTAAATACAAGAGGAATTAGGCAGAAAGAAGTAGTGGAAGTACAAGACGCAAGAATTCGACTTTGTACGAAACCAAAATGTAAGTCATAGCTAAAGACAACTCGTGTTAGAAACATTACATCATCCAGCAACTGGGCTTTGTAACTTTCTGCCTTCTTGTCATAGCGCCTCAACAGCTGCAAACCTGTTCCAGTGATCAGCTTTGTAGTCATGTATGTCTCCCATGGGATATCCCTCCTCAAAACCTAAGGAAACAGAAGGATCCACAATGTTATTGCACAATCACCAGTGCTAAAAGACCCAATTCATCACTATTTTTTCAGTTTTTTTTTTCTTTCCGCACTCCTATTTCCCCAAAACCAAAAGATAAAGCCACGTTTATGTTTATTTATAGGTGATGTAGTTGGTAAACTAGAGAAAAGATAAAAGAAAAAGGATGTTCCACTGTTCTTCCAGGACAGCCCACAAAGAAAAAAAACCTGACAGCAACAAATTCTTTCTCCTTCTCAAAATTGACGCCTTATCCAATCTATTAAAAGAAACTGGCAACCAAAAGTATCTTTATAATTATCCATCATTGAATGCATAGAATTCTTTCCACTTAGTGTTTATTGATGTAAACATACTACTCAAAACTTTCTCAAAAAGTAAATGGAAACAAGGTACAGCAACTAACTGCTAAGACTAAGAGCCTAGATCCTGTGTTGCATGTTAACTATGATGGCGATTGAAAGTTATAGTCCAAGCTAGTTATCAGTTACAAAAACTGTATGCTATTTCATGTCCTTATGTATAATGTAGCTTCTTTATTGTGCTTATACATGTGACATTACCTCCTCCGTAGTAAGCTCCGCGTTCTCCGTTGTCATTGTGAGTATGCCCTTCAAATCCAAAATTTGTTTTCTTCTTACCAAATAGACAGAATACGGATTGTTCTTCCTCTATCCTGTATAGATTCCACGGAAATATCTCAAAACCCAACAGGTCATAGATTCCACACATTTAAAGATGCCAACTAGAAACGGGATAAATAAACTTATTATTAGAAATCAAAATGAATATGATAACAGATACAGAAATGAAGCTGAAAAGAGAACACCAAAACACTTTCTGAACCTACTATCAACAAATTAATGTCATCAGGCTATCTTGTTTCACTTCACTTGTGAGAAGGAAAGGATTCAGTTCCTATGTGATAAAAGAAAGAAGAACCCATATTATTTCTTTTTCTTTTATTACGTTTGTCTCGTATGTGGATAAGACCAATGTTTGGTCTCTAACCATTGCAAATCCTTAACTTTTTGATGACCCAATCACTGATTTTATTTTGGGAGTTAGACCCATCACTCTATATTGAGTCCATATTGCCAACATAATGACCAAATCTACCTCCTCAGACTTGAAATTGGCTTGCACCAGCTTCATTACAGTTTTTAGTCAAACTTCAAGTTAACACCTGACAAAGTACATCAACCAAATACTTAAGGAACAATCAAGCGGAAGATGTCTCCCTAATGTGGTAGGATATTTAATACAAGTATTGGTTATATCATACAAAGTTGGTATAAGAAATAAAACAGATAGAACATGATGGAAGAAAAAGATCCATATAGGAGATATCAACTACTTAGGAACTTAAGATTAAGAACACCTGGAGGACAATTCAGTAACTGAAAGGTTAGGTCTAGTATTATGTTCTTTTAGAGTAATTCTGATATTGTAAGTAATGTATAAGAAATATTAAACTTTTTGAGCTCCCAACATACCTAAAGGGGTCTGGTAATTTCTGCATATATCTTCTTATAAAATGCACCAATCAGTGCTTTATTCAACAAAACTTAAAAGAGATATGGCATTGCTCAGTTGACAGTACACAGGTAAAAAAAGGTTCAGGGAATAAATTTCTGATTCAATCTTGGAGATCGTCACAATTTAAGGAACAACTAAAGATTTGAGTTCAAAGCTTTGACAGAATCCACAATAGTACACAGGTACAGAGAAGGTTGACCCCAAAATCTCATTGCTACAGGTTCAACATTCATCCCCATACTTAGTGAATAATCAGAAGTCAACATCACTGATCCAAATAAACCCAGAAAAGCAAAACAATCACTTCAACCATGACATTCTCCACCAACTTTCAAGCTGATTAAGTTCACTACTTCAATACTCAAAACTTTATTCCCATAAACAATCACTAATGAAAGAAATAAGCAATACTCAATTTCCCCCAGTCAAGCCAAAATCTAAGATCCAAAACTATAATAGTCAATCAAACATAAAACCAAGAAAATTCTGCCTATTTGGGCAAGCAAGCATACATTAACAAACCCAAAAAAAATACAAATTATCACTGATTGAATCACTTCAATCACACCATTATCAAAACATTTCAAGATTCAAACTTTACTCAATCACCAAAGAAAGAAATAAACAATACCCAATTCCCCCCATCCAAGCCAAAATCTAAGCTCCAAAACCACAATAGTCAATCAAACATAAAACCCACAAAATTCTGCCAAATGGGGCCAGCATACAGACATTACCAAACACAAAAAAAGCACAAATTATCAAAATCACTTCAATCACACCATTATCAAAAACACTTCAAGATTCAAACTTTATCCCTCCTACCAAATAAATCCAAGATTCACAACCACAATTGTTGATTAAAAAGATAAACCCAGAATTATTTTGTCCATATACATGAGATTTACACTGAAATTAACAGAAAAAAGAAGAAGAGAGAGATTAAAAGATACCGTATCACGTGGAAGTGACCAAATGTGATTAGAACCCAAAAAGTAATCTTCCAGTATAAGAGGGTGCAAGTAGGCTACAAATCTTGGGGTGGGGTGGGGGTGGGGGTTCACGAAGGTGAGATCAAACTCGATGGATGAGGAAGACCATAGAAAAAGGAAAATTACAAAGGGACAAAATCAAGCAATTTCAACATCACATGTGTCTTTTTTTTAATTATTGATAAATTTTAATTATTTTTTCCATAAATTTTAAGAATTATTAACTAGTTTATCTCATTTAATTATAAAATAATGATCAAAATCATATTTAAACCTTCACTTTTTCTAAGTTACCCACAATAGTTATTTTGTTTTTTACTTGCAATGGTTAGCAATTATTATTTTCTTATCGGAACTATTATCATCTATGTAGTAAAACACACTTATTGAAATAGATGCCGATAGTTCAAATAAAAAAGAGGAGTAACAAACTGATTGTTCAATCGATTGTAAGGTGTGTTTTAATACATTGATTGTGATAGTTCAAGTAGAAAAAAAAAAACATTTTTTAGTTGGAGTGTAAAGCTCATGATTGTTCATATGTGTTTTTGACAATTAGCTCTTTAATTATCCACATGGTATGTTAAATTTGGATTGTTAGTCTATATTTGAAGTAATATATACTTTTCAAAATAGTTCAAATATAATGTATCTCCTAGTTCCTCTACCTACAACATATAAGTGTACGCAAATCTTTTTCTTTATCTATGTCATCCATTAAAAATTTAGCTTATTTATGTCATTTCAGTTAACAAATAATGGCACGTATAAACCTTTTCTCAGATGGAGATGGCATAGAGCCAAACTTTTAACGGATGACATAAATGAGTCTTTTCTCAAAGTTTAATGTCATATTTGCACCTTTTTCCTTTAATAAAACTATTGTTATTCCATCATTATTGAGTCTTCAATATTTCCTTCATGAAAAACTTCTTTTGTTCTTTTTTTGTCATTACGCCTCAAAGATATAGGTGAATATTGTCACGCCCCGAGCTACTCCCGAGATGCGAACACGGGACCTAGGATCACATGTGATCCCAAGCTAACTTTGCTAGCATGATCATGAGCATACTAAAGATAGTAAACTGATGTGGAAGTTAAATCATAAATAAAAATGAAAAGATGGGGAATACCCATATACTATAACTGATATAAATGAAAACTGATGAGTTTAATACAAAGAAGATATTAGCTCAATACTAAGATGAATCTATCTATGTCTGGAATAAGCCTCTAAACTGACTAGAAATGTTGGGACATGCCCTAACTAGGTCTAGCAAAACTGAAACTAAAGACTAAAAACGATAAAGATAAACATGTCACTAGTCCTCGAAGAATGAGGACTCACCACTGATGTTGCTGAACTGAAGATCGGGAACCGATCTAAGCGTGATCTGGATGCTGAGAACATGAACCTACATCACGAGAAGATGTAACGCACGTATGCGTCAGTACTTGAAAGGTACTGAGCATGCAAGATAGAGTAAAACTGAAATAACATATAACTGAGCAAAGCAATAAAGCAATGAAATAATCTGAACATGATATAGATGCTGAATACTGAATTAACTAAATACAATGACCAAATTTATAACATGCTGAAACTGAATATTGACTGTACTGAAATATGGTCAATGCAATAGAGTCTGACTGAACTGTGGGAGCTACTAATAATCGACATAAAACCACATGAGCTAAATGTGGAGTCCAATGGATACGCCCCATCGAGAGGACCCAATATACCCTGCCAGAGGTATAGAGGCATGATGGCGTGATCACTAAACTGATGTTGCCCACAGAGGGGACTTACACCTACGTGGCTCGTAGTTCTGGGACTATATGGGTACGCTGAAACCCTAGTCCAACTCGGTATTATGCTACTCCCAATAGATTAAGTGGTTAACACATTATGACTGAGTTTCTGTAAATACTGGATAGCTCGAAACTGAACATACAAACTGAGAATGCAACAATTAATCTGATAATGATGCATTCATAAACTGAGGCATCTATAACTGAATATATTATGACTGAAATACTGAATAACTCAAAATACTGACATGTAGATACTCATACTCGAAAACTCCTTTCAACATCATATTATACTATGATCATTGATGACTTGGGAAGTCATACAGCATAAACATTGATGGGATTTCTAGATACCATACTATTCATACGTTGATGATCTACTCAATTGTCATACTAATCATGTTTTAGAAGCTCTTTCTCAAAATTCATCTTAACTTTCTCAAAAACTCAGTTTAAAACTCAAGTGTTGTCTTAAAGAAAAGCTTCTCAAGATTTATAACTCAAAATAGGGTTTATGCTAAAATATACTGATAAT